AATCAACTTTCAAGATGAAGAATTATGAAGATTCATCAACAAGTTAGGTACAAGTTTTAATTTGAGGTTTTAAGATGATATAATGCTCAAAATATACTCTAAACATTTTACATAAGTGTCATGATCATTTAAGAGTAAAAAATTGCATGTCCATCACTTAGAAAATATGTTTTTATAACTTTCACTCAGTGGTAACCGGTTACAGGGTTACAGTAACCGGTTACAGAACTTTACGAACTTAAAATAAAAAATTTGGTTCAGTGGTAACCGGCTACAGCTTTTGGATAACCGGTTACAGGCATGCATATTTGAAAATATATACGTTATCGTACATGTGTAATCGATTACATCCCTACGGTAACCGGTTACTGCTGAATAAAAATTCAAAAGTTTTATATTTTACATGGCTGTTGGATGGTACCTCTTGGGGTCCAACCATTGCATCTTTTTACTCATTTAGGGTGTAATGAAAGGGTACATTTCATATAAAAATTTTGTTTGCACTCAGATCATAACATAAGACATATCATTCAAAATTTCAAAAAATTCTTAAGTGTTGTAAAACTTTAAGAATTTACATATTGCATGAAACATTGTTTAGAACTTTCATACTCATCATTGTTTCAGTATATATTGAGCACTAGATCTGACTATAAAATTCCTATTAAAATTTTGTCTTAGTATCTTGATAACCATTGTGTTATTCAAGAATTTATCACACTTTGTAAAAAATAAGATTTTGTATAAGATTAACCTTGCATTCCAGGATTGTTGGAGCAAGTGTGTGCATTGAAGAAGATTGTTCTTCTTGCACTTAGTGTTGAAGATCTTAAAGGTTTTAAAAGTCTTTGATCTCCCTATATATTAGATAGTAAGGCATCGCCTTTGGTGTGATTAGGCTTGTGCAATTATTCTAAACTATAGTGAAATCTCTTTCGTGTTGGCAACAGGACTGAAGTACTCTCGATTTGTGAGGGGAAACAGTATATATCTTGTGTTCATTTACTTTCCACACTTTATTGTTTTCTTCACCATAATCAGAAAAATAAGAACTTTAAAAAGAAGGCAAAAATTAACCATCACCTAATTCACCCCCCCCCCCCCCCCCCCCCCCCGCGCCTCTTAGGTGCATTATTAACTTACAATTTGGACCGAGATGAAAATGGTAAGCCATTCGATATAAAAAGGTATATAGGTATGATTGGTTCCCTTCTCTATCTTACTGCATCCCGTCCGAATATTATGTTTAGTGTTTGTATGTGTGCTAGGTTTAAATCATTGCCCAAGGAATCATATTTAAAATCCATAAAGTGCATGCTTAGGTACCTTTGTGGTACGTCAAAGTATGGACTTTGGTTCTCCAAGAGTAGTGATTATTCTTTGGTTGGTTATTCCGACTCCGACTTTGCTGGTTGCAAATCAGATAGGAAAAGCACTAGTGGGACTTGTCATTTCTTTTTAAACTCCTTAGTAACTTGGCATAGCAAAAAGTAAGTTTATGTTTCTTTGTCAACTGCCGATGTGGAATACGTTGAAGCCGGTAATTGTTGTGCCCAAATTTTATGGCTCAAACAAAATTACTCGACTTCAATGTTAAACTTGAATATATTCCTATTTTTTGTGACAATACAAGTGTCATTAACCTAACCAAGAACCCGGTTTTGCATTCACACACAAAATATATTGAGATTAGACATCATTTCCTTAAGGATCATATAGAAAAGGGTGACATTGTATTCGAGCACGTTGATAGCAAAAATCAACTTGCTGATTTTTTTACAAAATCACTCGCGACAGAACCTTTCTTCCATATTCGCAAGGAACATGGTGTTCTCGATATCTCGGATAGGTTACAACTTGAATAAGTTGCATGCTCTTTATTTTATGATTGTATATTCCTTCATAATCTACTATGTCTAATGCAAGCGTTAGTGAGGGCATTCGTCTTCAATCATTCATGGAGGTAATGTCGTTCTTATCTATTAGACCTCTCTTGATCATGTGTAAATGTTAAACTTACTTAACAATACGTATTTCTTATCCTTGACATATTTTATGTATGTGTAGACTTTCTATTTATTGTATGAATGACATTAAATAACATGAAAATTTTGAAAATTGAAATTTGGACTACATGTGTTGACTCGTGAGTTACAGTTGTCGGTGCATACTGAAGCACTTCTTGATCTCAATGTGGTGCTTTGTAGTATATTTTGTGACTTTCCTTGTTTACATGTCTTGCTTATGTTATTGGTTATTTTATTTTCTTAAGAACTTACTTTGTATTCGTTGTTTTATTCTTAAACTCATTTGGTGTGTAATGAACTTAAATGTGTTTGCTTAATTATGTCCACTATTATATGTTTTGCACTAGCTTCATTTTATGTGAATGGTTGTTAGTGTATGTTAGTTGCAAAGTATATGATGGTCATATAATTGTATATGTTTCTATTACACTTGACTTGTGCTTTTCTCTTTTTGATATTGTCAAATGGGGAGAAGAATATACATTAAGCATATTATGTTGCAGATTATGTTGAGCATGTGGTTGTAAGGAAGGCACAAATTCAGTGGGAGAATATGTGTAAAATTGGGATGAGTTATTGGCTTAGGTTTTGTCATCATCAAAAAGGGGGAGTATGTGAGGGCAAAGTTCCTCTACTCTTATTTTAATGATGTCAAAACATTCTTCGTATCTTGCATTTGTGGTCCTAACATTGGTTGACTCTTTGGTGCATTTGAGCTTGGAAATGGATGACATGAAACTCCTTGCATTTGTGCTCCTAATATTGATTGGATCTTTGGTGAATTTGAGCTTGGAAATGGATAGAATGAAACTCCTTGAATTAAAGCGATTTTGGCCACTTCAACTGTTTGCGTCGACTCATACTGATCAAGGACTTTGCACCTGACTCGGGACTGCTCACGTCGACTCTTTTGGTTGACTCATACTGGGAGTGAAATTCCTTCAGGTTGCATCGACGCATTCCCTAGTGCGGTCGACGCATCGCCTATTTTCAAATTATCTCATCAAGCTCGAGTTAGCTCAAGTTGACCCCCCCCCCCCCCAACCTGTATGAGTCGATGCATCACTAAATTCTCTTATTTTCTTCTACGTTTTGGGCTTGCTGGTTGTGAAACATATTAATATTGGTTTGTGGTCATCATTTGGGTTAACAAGAAAAAGTGAAAGATATACACCAATTTCTCATCATCTTCATCACTTCCTTGCATTCTTCAACAATTACACATAAAAAAATTTGTTGATTAAAGTGTGGAGTTGTGGTGATAACGTTCAAATTGAAGATTGATTTAAGATATGGGTTGAGAATTGAGTGGGTTTTTTCTTGAATAAATCATTTGGATTTTGTCCTCCAAGATCTGTGTTGATGCGGGGGTTTTTGCACAAGTCTTTATTTTATTGAATTCAGTCGAGTGAAAGAATTGAGAAATGGTGGGTTTGTTCAATCAAGTTGTGGTAACTGAAAGATTGTGAAGAAAGATTTAGGATCAAACGTCTTGCGATCGAAATCATCCGAGTGAAAGATTTGTAGAACGAGGAATTCGTGCAATCAAGTAGCGGTAATAGGAGGTTTGTTCCAAGAGTTTGGCATATTTGGTTTGGTTTGAACCAAGGGAGAGAGAAGGGAATAGTTTCATCTTCAATAATTGGTTTGTGTGTAGTGAAGACTAATGCTTCTCTTGTAACATTTTGCAACTTAATATCATATATCTCAATTCTAGATTTTAGAATTGGGGACAGACGTACCCTACGCGAGGACAACAAGGGGAACTGCCTTAACAAATCGTGTGTTGTTTCTCTTTCCCCATCCTTTTATTTTCGTTTGTTATAATTTGTGTGATATTGATTGTTCAATTCATTTTAACGTGATTGTAGTGATTCAAACTTAGTTTATAATAATCATAGCAATCACTTTGATTGTTATCAAGGAAAATTCATCACTACAATTAAGTAAAATTGAACTTGTTGTATTTTTGCACACCAAGTGTTTGATAAATTGACTAACACACAAATTAGTGATTTTGTCAAGTTTTATCTTAAACAATTCATTGGAAGTAGTATGTACTCATTGATATTATTTAAGTGGTTGATTAGTAAGTAAACGTATTGACTCATTTCTCATCATAAGATCTCAATATGGTTTCGCATATCCGATCTTTTCAACAATGAATTATTTAGAAATTTTGATCAGGAAGCTTTCGCACCATTTCAAAACAAATTTTAAAAGCACAATTTTTTAAATAAAAGATCTATTCAACCCCCTTTTAGATCCGTCATGTAGTCTATCACATGTCATTGTTCTTGTCACTATTCATAAATATATTTTCTATTTAAAAAATATTGTTCATCGTATTTATAATATTGAGTGTAAGTATTAGTGTAGAAATTAAATGTAGAAATAACATTATTATTTATGTTAATCGCGATAAAATTTTAACTTTGCGACAGTTCGTCTTTGCTCACACCGGCCCTCATCATCATGATTATCAAATTCCATGAATACACGTCCAAAGTTTAACATTGCTACTTTGCTTCCTCTTACATAAAATGGTCAAAGGTTTCTTTTCTGACCACTCCTCATGTTTAACATTTTTGAACAAGTAAATGAAGCCAAATATTTCTTTCATGTTCACATCACATATACATCTGTTGCCTATTTTATCATGGAAATTTGTGCAGTTTTATTTACGAACCTCCGATTTTTGTAATAACACATTAACTATGAACATCTCACTGATAAATGGCTTTGAAGAAAGAAAAAGTACTTGCAGTAATTTTCCAAAAAATCCTTGCAGTACATAGTTGTCATAAACAACAGTGAAACTTGTCTTCCTTAATCACTGCTTTATCTCGATGATTAGAAGAAAATTACAAACATATAAAAGAAGGACAAAACAAACTCCTAAAGGAGAACTATTAAGCTGGAGCATCTTCTTAATTTCAAAAATATAAATTGGAATCTCCTTTGCTTCAAGATTTAGTCAATGTCGTAGATCGTGCTCGAAGGTTCAAAAATATTCCCCTGAAATAAAATAGACATAATGAATCATTTCTTTTAAGTTGTTTACCAAGAAGAACGGCAATTGCGCATTTTTGTTGCATTAGCGGTGGCAGAGGCTGTTAGTCTGCAACAACTATTTGCATAACACGGAAACCACCAACCAAACACATTTAAGTTAAGAAAAGCTGAAAGAAAGACTGGAGAATAAAAAGAGCAAACCAGCAAAATGCTATTAAGCTTTGGAAAACAACACGGAAATGAAGAGGCATAAATTTGTACTTTATCCACCCAACAGCAGGCCAGAATTGTAGTTTAGTTCATTCAAGATCTTAAAGTCAGAAACAATAAAGTAAATTCTATTTGATACTAAAGTTATAATACAAGATTACCATCCATGATGCATATTGCACCGATGGATAACCCTTCTTCACTCTAGCTTTCACATGCACCCAAGGTTGGCCTGCAGTTGACATTTTTATCATAAACATAACTACCAATTTGATCATTTTGCATACAAATGGCATTTTGATCATAAATGCAAATCAGATAAAGATGGGACCCATCGAATTCCAAATGAGATTAATCATGATGCATTGTTTGTGTGAAACTTTTTACACTGGTATCTAATGACAGTCCATCTTTTGTGCTGCTTTTAAGATAAATATGATTAAAACAAATATTATTATTGATCAAACAATAGTGATTAATTGAGAGTGTAAAGACTTTTTTAAGATAAATGAATTACTAATCGAATATGATGTCATTTGGTTGAGTACCCTAATTTTGACACAGATGACAATTATTTTATTTCTCCATGCATTCCATGAGCATTTGACTTCGTCTATGTCCATGCTTCTTCAGTTTAAATGAAAAAGGTTGGTGTTGAAAAATGACTAACCTTCGATAACTAATCCGTAGTAAATCATGAAAAGAAAATTGTTAAAAGGAGAAGATGTTAATTGTTCAATCAGAACCTGAAAAAATAAATAAACAGAAGACTTCTTTAAAAATGGCAATTTATTTCTCATGTTCTTTTCTCTTGTTCTGTAATGTGAGCATATAAAATAATTTAAAAAATATATATACTTCAATTATAAATAAGGTCTTGTGTAAAATTTGTTCCGACTTTGGAATGATACTAGCCTAAAGAACTCAATTCATTCACATTTTCAGAATCATATATCACATTTTGCTAACAATGGATTTGTAAAGTATATATTTCCAAACAGTGCATAAGTTAACAGATTAATTTATTCATGCTATAAACACTAGAAAAACAACAGATTGATAACATGATAAATACAGTTAATAAGAACAAAAGGTTTTGCAATATCACCTTATTTGCCACAGTTTTTGAATCTTTCTTTCCTTCGAAAATCTTTTCCAGTATTAATTGAAACTAGTGTCCAAAGGGTCCAAAATAAGCGGCTCCAAGAAACTGCATGCAATAAAATATTTATATGATTCCTATAATGCATATATATAGCATAAGATAACAAAAGACACAAAATAATCAAAACTACAATAGTAAAATGGGAAATGATTGTAAAGGAAGATAAATGTGATGGTAAATAAGATAAATCAATAAGAAATATACAATAATTATAAAATAAATGGTGTCAAAAAGTCAAAGCTCAAATGAGTAGTAACATTATAGAATAGACGTTTTAGAAATTTCTATCTATATATTTCCTTTTGGCAAAAACAGATAAGCAATAGACCCAATTTTTGGCATTTTAAAGAACAAGTTTGATCACAGAGGCCCAAATTTTTTATTAAACTCAAGTCCATCCTAGTATCATGTTATCCACATGAATATTGATTGATGTAACATTGGCAAGATTACAGTGAGTCATTGCACTTTTGGCAAAAGCTACACTTTTGAGCTTCAACAATATCGCAGTGCTATTAAGATTTTTCCAAACTCATAGTGATCAAAACAAGTACTTAGTAATATGATAAAATTCTCAGTAAAAACACCACAAATATCAGAAAATCTTGTAATATGAGCTTTCTAAAATATGTTTTCTTGTATAAGTTTGAGATTGGCTTTTTGGATCTCTCAACAAGTTCCCTCCTTCAAAGACAACACAGGACTTGTACCAATTCACTCTCTCTTCCAAGGACGATTTTCACATATATCGAATTCGGTCATGACCATGTAACACAGACATTTCAAATTAATGGAGTGTATGGTGATCTGACAACAACACAACATAGACACATGTAGTTACGTTGAATCACTTGAACTTTCTTAAATTATTACTACCGGTGTCTTCATGTCAGTATCATGTCGAGTGTAAGTGCTTCATAGTACAAACCCTTTGGGTAAGTTGAAATTGGGTTTCTGTTGACTTTGTTTATATCAACATATATAACCTACTAATATTTCACAAACAATGAAGCATGGACACCCCTGAACACGACGCCGACATTGGTAATAATTTGAAAAAAATGAATAAATTAAATATAATCACAAATGCCGGTGCAGGTGTTCGACAGTGGCATGGACACGCCTTTTTTTCCGAGATGTCGGTGCTACATAGTTCACAAATCAAGGACTATAAATTTAGTTTAATTAAAAACTGTCATAAACAACGGTCAAGTAGAAAAAGATTGAAAAACAAAATGGAAAAGATGTTAACTAACCACTTTGAGAAAGTCATTTGAATTGAAGTTTCTAAGTCCCAGTAAGCTTCTGAGAACTATATCACTGATCCCCGACAACACCCCTGCAGTAATTGACTATTTAACCTCCAAATGAAACATAGGAAAATTAGGGAAAAGTTGATGAATAAATTGAATCAAACAAAACCAAACAAGAATAAGAAAGAAGATGAACCTTGGTTCTCAAAGGATGTTCCTGAAGCTGTTTCATATAATTGTTTAGTCCATTCCTCGACCGGAAAATTAGGTACTGGCACTGCTTCTGTGAAGGTTTGTGTTTGTTTGGAGAAACCAGATAGCGAAACAAAGACAGAAAAGTTAACAACAGTGAAGAAAAATGACACTCTAGTCTTCCAGACGCATCTGCTTTGAAAAAGGGAATAGTAAATACCACTAGACCACTTCACCTTTTTTGTTTTAATTTACACATTAATGTCATTGAAATTTTAATTATTTCTAAAAAGAAGATATACAACCCATGGAAAAGGACTTTAACAGCTTCAGATTCCATTGAAACACCAGAAATTAATGAAAACCGAGACTCAGAACATCAAACCGAATCGTAACACCAATCACCGCGTAGTCGGAATCAGTGGATGAGGCGGCGAAGATATCAAAGCAAATCCCTCATCCTGCTTCTGAACAACACCAACTCCTATCTGAGCAAACTGTTCCTCAACACCAACGTTGATTGTACATGGAGGCGGCCTTTCTTGCAAGCATGGACAACATTATGATCTTAGTTATGAAAAAGAAGCATTTGTTATAATATAACAAGTATAAGAAACCCAGGATTCAAAAATCATGATTTTTGCATACCAAAATATGAACAATGCTCACAGAGGCAAAATATCAAACAGTTGGCATGCACTCGGTGAAGCGTAACACAATTGGTTGAATTACAAAATTAAAACCGATAGAACTAATGCTATTTGAAGTGTCTTGGTAAGAGCTTGAATTTTGAAGACTAATAATATGATAGAAGTCAAGCAGGAACTATGAAAAGGTGGTTGATGGCGTTTACTTCTTCACCGTTATAAGTTAAATCATCAATGATGAATTGGTAGACCATCTTGTTAAGCAACTAAAGGGTGCTTGGTTTGAATCTAGGCTAAAGGCAAAATTTTAGAATTTTCTTGAAATTTTGATGATTTTAGTGATGAACACATGTGAAGTTGGATGTCACGACTTTTATGAAAATTAGATGGAAAGAATTTAAATTATGTTGTTTGAAAATATAAGGGAGAAAAACGAAATCGGCAGAGCCGGGGCCTTCAGGGCTTTCCTGCTCTCGTACTGGACATCGAATTCTGAAAGTTTCAAGCACCATTTCAGCATTCGGTCCGTCATGTCTGGTCGACCTAAGAGCTGTTTCACGGGCTGGTCTGTTCGTACGACGATCGTGTGCGCGAGGAAATAGTGTTTGAGTCTTCTCGTTGCGTTGACGAGGGCCAAAGCCACCTTCTCGATCTGTTGGTATCTAACCTCGGGCCTCTGGAGCACTTTGCTCGTGAAATAAACGGGTTTTTGTCTATCATGAGTCTAGCGAATGAGGGTCGTACTGACGGTTTCGACGAAAACGGCCAGGTATAGAAATAAGGTCTCTCCGTCGACTGGTCGTGATAGCACGGGCGACTGCGAGAGGCTCTGTTTGAGATGGAGAAGGGCATGTTCGTATTCATCGGTCCACTCGAAAGCTGCCTCCTTGCGAAGGAGTTTGAAGAAAGGCAGGGCGTGTTGAGCGGATTTTGCAACGAAACGGGAGAGTGAGGCGAGCATGCCATTCAAGATTTGTATGAATTTTTTCGACGTGGGTGTAGGGAGGTCGGAGAAAGCTCAGCACTTGTCGGGGTTGGCTTCGATTCCTTGTTCTGTTAGGTAGAAGCCGAGGAACTTGCCTGCCTTAACCCCGAACGTGCACTTCTCGGGGTTAAACCTCATTCTACATTGCCTTGCTTGGGCAAAGACTTCCCTGAGATGAGCGGCATGGTCGGTGTCTACGCGGGACTTGACGATCATGTCGTCCATGTATACCTCGAGCCTATCTTCGATCTGGTTGCGGAAGACTTTGTTCATCATCCGCTGATACGTTGCTCCTGCGTTTTTCAGACCGAATGGCATTACATTGTAGTAATAGTTTCCCGAGCTGGTCATGAAAGTGGTGCAGTATTTGTCGCTCATTGCTATTGGGATTTGGTTATAGCCCGAATAGGCGTCCATAAACGATAAAATTTTATAGTTGGCCGAGTTGTCGACCAGCATGTCAATATTAGGTAAGGGAAATGCATCTTTGAGGCATGTCCGGTTAAGATCGGTATAGTCAACACACATTCGCCATTTTTCCATTATTTTTCTTAACAAGTACAACATTTGACAGTCAGGTTGAATACCGTGCTTCAGAAATAAAATTTGCCTCTAGGAGGTCTTTTACAGCTTTTTCAGCAGCCTCCGCTTTCTCGGGAGACTTCCTACGCCTACGTTGTACTACTGCCCTAGCGCTGGATCAATGGCGAGTTGATGACAGGCGACCTCAGGGTCGAGACCAGGCATCTCTGCATCGCTCCATGCGAACAGATCTGCATTCTCCCTCAAGCAGGCCTTGATTTTCTTTCTTGCTAAGTCGGGGAGTCCAGTTCCAATCTTCACCCCTCTGCTTGGGTCTTCACCGAGAAGGACGAGCTCAAAGTCCCCATCGGAAATTGGTCGGAGGAGCACCTGCTCGCTGTTGGAGGGTTCGTCTTGGTAGAAGTGAGTGCCCAACGAGATCGAGTCGACCTCTGGAGGGGACCTTTGTACCTCTGCTCTAATGGGAAGTGGCTCTGACCGCTGAGGCTCTGGTCACGCAGTTGCAGCTTTCTTGGAGGGTCGTGCCCCGGTGTCGATTGTGCTGTGTCCCTTGGTCGCCGCGTTAAAGCATCTTCAGGCGGCTGCTAGGTCGCCTTGAATGGTGGCGACCTGTGCCCTCTTGGTGTAGAACTTCATCTTTAGGTGGACGGTGGAGGGCACCGCGGTCAGCTCTGCCAGTGTCGGCCTCCTGAGGATGCAGTTGTAGAGGGATGGGCAGTCCATGACGAGGAAGCGCACCTTGACCTTCCTGGTAGCGGTATCTTCGCCGAAGGTGACCATAAGCTCCACGTACCCCACGCTTGGAGGTCGAGCCATTAAATCCCTGCAGATCTGACCCCACGTATGGTGAAAGGTGAGAGTCATCGAGCTGTAGGGTTCTGAACAACTGGTTATACATCACGTCGATGGAACTTCCCTCGTCGACCAGGACACGATGGACGTCGAAGTTGGCCATTCTTGCCCTTATCATAAGAGGGATGGCTGAATTGGGGGTCCCTCTGGGAAGCTCCTCAAGGTAAAATGTGATCGGCTCTGATCTGCCTTTTACCATCTCAAAGATCACTGTTTGCGGGGGAGCCGCGTCGACCAGTTCGTCCAGCTTCCTCTTTGTTGAATTTATGGTCAAATCATTAAACCCTCCACCACTGATGACCATGGCGGTGGGGAAGTTTTCCCACCTGCTGTGCATAGACAGAGGCTCTTGCACATGTTCAGAGACGTAAAAGTCATCTAGTCTCGTGAGAGAGAATGCGGTTTGGATGGGGACCGACTCATCAGATGGTCGTTCATCCTCTTCTACTTCTCTTATTTCACGGGCATCTCGACAAGGGGTGTCGTCGTGCCGATATTACCCGAGTCTCCCCCCTTTTATGAGGGTCTCGACGGTGTCCTTGAGATGGACACAATCTTCGGTCAAGTGCCCATGGCTCCGGTGATACTGGCATTACTTGCTTCGATCTACCCTGGGTTTAGCAGGAGTGGGGCGAGGATGCTTAACGTCGTCGTCCTTGAAATCTGTATTCGTGCACTCTGCTAAGATGCGCTCGCGAGAAGCCGTTAGCAGAGTGTACTCAGTGAACCTCCCCGAGGGCTCCTTTTGTTCTCGGGCGTCTCGGGGTTTGTCGTCCCTTCTCTTCTCGCCAGTTCGTCAAGGAGGGGCGGTGTCTTATCACGGATGACTGGTAGATCCGCGATTCCTGGGATCCCGGACTCTGTTGGCCGCTTCTCTCTCCTCGTAGTCCATATAGGCTCTGGCCTTCTCGAGGAGGGCATCGAATGTCCGGGGTGGTTTGATGCCTACAACCTTTCTGAATTCTGTGCCCGGGAGGAGTCCCCTCTCGAGCAGGTATCTCTTCATGTGGTCCGTACAGGGGACCTGGATGGCCTCCCGGTTGAACCAGTCAAGAAATTCCCTCAGGGTCTCATCGTGTCTCTGGATGATGGCCTCGAGGGTTGCTTTGATCTTCGGTGTCATCGTGAAGCAGTGAATGAACTGATGAATTGGTTCTTCGAATTTCGCCAAGAGGTAATTGACCCTGGGGCGAGACCTTTGTACCAGTCCATCGCATCTTTCCTTAGAGTCGTGGGGAACAACCGACATTTGATCGGTCCCCTGACATTGTGATAGTTTAGCATGGATTCAAACCCGTCTATATGGTCGAACGGGTCGACGATACCGTCATATTCCTTTAGGTGGGGAGGCTTCTCCATGCCCGGTGGAATGGGTTCCTCCATGATAGCTTGTGACAAGGGACTGCGGGGGTCGTCCTTGTCACTCTGTTCGGGCGAGCAAGACAGAGATCTGATGTAATGGCGGTCACGGTGGCCCTGGTCGCGCAGAGCGGTCCTCAGGCGGTATAACTGTTGGTGGTTTCCCCTGTTCCTGTCTCCAGGGGGTCTTCGTTCTTTATGCGATGGGCCGTGATCGCGCCTTCTCGCATCAATGGGCTATTCCCTTTCTAAGGCGGGCCGTCGCCCGATTGGTCGGGGAGACGGGCTTCGAGAGATGTCCCGACTATGTCTCCGCGGGGGAGATTGGGGATGTTCCTCTGCTTGTCGAGGAGGAGGAGATTGAGGTCTCCTGTGTCTTCTTGGAGGCCTCCGATCGTCTTAGAGCGCCCTCAGTCTTTCTTACTGGGTGAAGATTAGGTAGTTGGTCTGATTTATTGCCGCGAACAGTGCCCTGGTCTTAGCGTCTGCCCTGGCGGGGACGGGGACCTCATGGATCTAGACGTGTTGGTAGTTCTGGGGAGGTGGCCGATCATCTTCAATTTGACGAGGCAGTGATGATGACGAAGAAGTTGCTACGTCTCTATAGTCAGAAGGCTTGGGCATATTAACGTCGACGGTTGCATTGTGGCCGGC